TGAAATGAGGAACTGAAATTTTTTATTTTTATATTTTTGTCAATCCTCACCTGGGTATTTTTTCATTGATCTTTTAGAGAGAGTTTAAGAGAGGGAAACAGAGAGAGAAACAATCGATATGAGAGAAACACATTGACTGGTTGCCTCCTGCATGCACCCTGACCAGGGCCAAGAGCCTACAACCAAGGTACATGCCCTTGATTAGAATCAAACCCGGGACCTTTGGTCCACAGGCTGATGGTCAATCCACTGAGCCGAACCGGCTAGGGCCCAAGGGACTGAATTTTTAATTTATTGAATTTGGACTTAAACAGCCACAGGTGACTAGTGGCTGTTGTACTAAACAGTGCAGCTCTAGAATCCTGCTCCAAGAGTAATTTTTACAAAGGAAGGAGCAATGTGGACAAGTTAAGTTTTTAATTACTACTACCATTTAAAGTAGGGGCTGGAGTATATGATTCTGGTACAAGAGATTTGCCTTCTTTAACTAGGTTTGGGTTAGGTTAACATAAAAAGAAGCTTTACTTGCAAAGAATAAAGGAAGAGGATGAAGATCAGGATGGCCTCTTGCTCATTTTTACACTCTCAGGGTCTAGCATTGCCCCATAAGCAAACCGGTCCTCAGTGACTTCAGTGGCCTTGGTGAGCGAGAGGAGGCCAAGGAGAACTCTACGTGGTGGGGAGCAGCAGGCCTGGCTTTAACCCCTTCATCACTTAACACGAGCCTCTCCATTCAGCCCATCACAACTATTGCGCATTGACTCCTGGGAGTCAAGACCGACCTAACGGTCCTCATTCCCAGGAGTCCACATCCTCGCTGGGAGACAGAAAATAAACACACAACGATCTGGTCATTTCAGATACTGGCACAATCTGATCAAATGGCAGTGTGATAATGCAGGATGGCGACCGCCACTTTCCTCGGGGTGTTCTGGGAAGGGACAGGGTCTCAGAGGAAATGACACTAGAATGAGGCCTGACTGATGGGCAGGAGACGGCCATGGAGCACAGGGAAGACCTCCCCAGGCAGAGGGAGCAGTTAGTGGACAGGGTCTGAGAAGGAAGGCGCTCTGGGGGGAGACCAGAAAGCCGCCCGTGGCTGGTCCAGTGTAAGCCAGGGAAAGAGTCATGGGTTGATGAAGTCGGAGACGTGGGCGGAAGCCAGATTAGGCAGGGCCAAGACGTATGGGTTATATACGTTTTCTCAATTTACAATGACAAGTGGCCGCCCTAGACACCTAGCCAGCGTGATGGTTTGGCGCTGAGGTCAAAGATAAGTGGTCACCGTTGTTAACCCCACCCCCATGTTGGCTGGCCAGTGGCCATGGCTCTCCTGTGAGGCCCAGATGTGAGAGGACTCGGTGTCCCAAGGCACCTGGGAATAGGGGGCTCGTTCAGCCTTACACATCGGGGACCCTGGGACCATCAAGCAAACCCAAATACCAGGAGCCCTTCCAGGATAATAATTATGTTAAAAACCAACCCACCCTCTCAGCGGCTGGCGTGGAGGCGCGGCAAAGAGCATCTGTGCTGTGAGCCATTAGGCGTCCCTGACAGATGTGCTCCTCTCCCCCTCGCCCCCCAGCTGCAAATGAAGACCCGTCTTTTCTTCCGCCCCGACAAGGATTGATGAGGATTCGGGAGAGCACTCAGACAGGCAAGGAGAGGCTGTGAACCTTTTCCAAGCCTGCAATTTATCTTGAGAAGACTATTCACATCACTTTCTACAGGCTGGATTATGCTCTGACCTGGCACATTAATCTCGCCGAATAAAATAATAATAATCAGAAAAAGGGAGCTGGACAGTTGCCAAGGGGACATTAATAACTGTCGCCTACACCTTGGTGGATCAGGGGAAAGGTGTCAGGTCCCGTCCCCGCCCCTCGCCCCCCAGAAGTATCCCCTCGAAGGAGAAGGAAATGAGGTAGCCACGGCATGAACTTGAGGACGTTTTATATAGATGGTGCACGGGGAGGCCCCCTCCTCTTCAGTCCACTCTGCGGGACTTCCCTAATGAATCCAGGGAACTGAGATGGGAGGGAGGACCGCCTGGTAACTCAGAGCAGGGGTTCTGTAGTCAGACCACCTGAGTTCAAATCCTCGCTTGGCCACTTACAAGCTGTGTGGCCTTGGGCTGCCTTCTTAATCTCTCATTGTGTTTGTCGTCTCCTCTGAAAAATGGGGATGAAAACAGCACTTGCCAGGAAAAGCAAAATGGCGCAGCCGCTGTGGAAAGCAGATGGGTGGTTCCTCAAAAAAAATGGAACCCTGCATTTCCACAACCCAGAACAATCTTGTTCCAACAGATACTTGTCCACAAATGTTCAAAGCGGCATTATTCACAACAGCCCCAGAATGGAAACAATGAAAACGTTGATTGAGAGATGGATGAATGAACAAGTGGTGGTCTAGCCACATAATGGAATATTATTCAGCCCCAAAAAGCTACATGCGAGTGAACCTTAAAAACATGATGCTAAGGGAGGAAGCCAGATACGGAAGATCATATAATATCTGATTCCATTTATATGAAACTAGAGGCCTGGTGCACAAAATTAGTGCACAGTGGTGGGCAGGGGGAGGGGGTCTCCTCAGCCCAGCCTGCACCCTCTCCAATCCAGGACCCCTTGGGGGATGTCCAACTGCCGGTTTAGGCCTGATCCAGGACTGCTGGCTCCTAATCGCTCACCTGCCTGCCAGCCTGGTCACCCCTAACTGCCCCTCCCCCTGCCAGCCTGATTGCCCCCAATTGCCCTCCTCCCCCTGTTGGCCTGGTTGTAGGCAGCCATCTTGTGAGGGTGTGAGGGTTAATTTGCATATTACCTCTTTATTATATAGGATGTCCAGAGCAGGTACATCCATAGAGACAGGAAGGAGATTGATGGTTTCTAGGGGTCATGGGGAGGGCAAGTGACTGTTAATGAGTGCAGGGTTTCCTCTTGGGGTGGTGGAAATGTCTTGGAACCGACAGTGGTGATGGCTCCACGACACTGTGCGTTCAGTGAGAGCCACTGCATGGTAACTTTAAAATGACTGCTGGGCCATTTTATGAGAATTTTGCCTCAATAAAGAAACCCACAAAATGGCAGCACGTGCCTTGTGAGACAGTTGTCAGGAGGAAATGAGTTCGAACCTTTTTGCCCCATATACAGGGCTGACTCCATGTTAGCAGCTCCCAGTGCTCTCCATATCGTTACTACGAGGTTTGCAATCTTTGGCAAGTTATTTAACTCAGCTTCTGCTCTCTCAAAAGCAGTATTCCCAGTGTCATCTCTCCCGGGCATGTGAAGATTAAACAACAAATTCCACGAATTCATGGATTTTTGTCTCCATGGTTCGCTGATGCATCCCCAGTTCCCAGGACACTGCTTGGCATATAGGTGGCATCCAGCAAACATTTCTCAAACAAATGGCATTGCCTCACATTGCCTGACTCAGGCCATTGCTCAGCAATGTTTAACCTATATTTATTATTATTAGTTTGGCTGCCAGATCTCTTTGGTCCTTTCTAGCACAGAGAAATTAGTACCACTTTGCCTTGTGGATTTTGGCGTCTTTGTGACAGAGGCGTTTGAACACCTACCAAATACAAGAGATTTGAGCTGAGCTGAGAGTAGATATAAGCTTTCCCTGCTGCTACAAGAGGCAATGGTAAGAGTTAGTGTAGCTGACTAGACGATCAATGCATCCATCCATCCATCCATCCATCCATCCATCCATCCATTCATCCATCCATCCAATCACTTGCCCACCCATCTATCTTATCCACCAACCTTCCTATTCAGCTTCCTACTTCATCCATCCACCCACCCAACTCTAATGCATACATACAATGAACACTTCCGAGTACATACCAGATACTGGTGATCCATCAACAAACAAGCCAGATGCATTCATTTCCTGCTGTCACAGAGGTTACACTCAAGCAGAGAAGGCAGACAACTAACAAACAATTACAGTCAGGGTGGTGAGTCCCGGAATAGGGGGAGGATAAGGTGTGGAGTGTCCTCAGTAGGGGCACCATTCCTAGTCTGAAGGGAAGATTTCTAAGAGGCTGTGATCTGCAGGAGCAGGAGTTAGTCAAGACACGTGTAAGGAAAAGAGCCTTTAAGGCAGAAGGATCAGAGGTGTAGTGGGTAGGAGACAGGGCAGCGAGGGCAGCGGGTAGCCCATTATGGAAGCTGTACAGAGTGTGGTTTCCCTATACACCTAGCCAATGGGTTTGGTCAGATGTCATGCAAGATGGGCGGCCAATTCCAAACCTCCTCTTCCACCAACCAAATTCTAAGCTTTCTGAAGTTGAAAAGATGGCATGAAAAGCAGGAGTCTTCAGAGATCGTTAAGTCCCATCTGCCTTCGCTTCGGGTCTTCTTGCAGGGGCATTGACATTAATTATATCCTAAAGGTGCTGCTCTGTCCTAGTCCTGCTCAGTCCTCTGAATTATGATGGTGGTGCCTGTGTAAGACCTCTTCCACCCAACATTCGCCTACAGGCCTTTCCCAAAAGGTACTCTGCAAAATATCACTACCTTCATTCCCCATCCTATGTCCACAGCAGACATCACTAATCAATCACAGAGTTCTTTCCTCATGAGCCTTGGTTCCCTTTACAAATCATGCTCCTGATGCCAGAAAGCATCAAAACTTCTGTGAGCCATCCTTCCCTGGGAGAAACACAACCAGGGCATGTCAACATGCTGTCTTTCCTTTCTCAAGCGAAACTCAGATGAAAACTGCACCCACCCAGGGCAGCTTTGAACCATGAGACTTAGGAAATGCACTTGGAGTAGAGGCGGCACAGGCAGGTGCTGACACCAGAGAACCAGGCTCAGCTTTGAGGCGCTGTAAGAGCTGAGTGACAGGACCTGCCGGCTCAGGCTCTGTCCATTTGCTATGATGACACTGGCTCTGCCCAGGCCCACTCTTTCCTCCTCCAAAGCGTGCCCTGGATCCCCTGCATGTGTGATTGGGGCTGCCTGGGGGCCGCAGCCAGTGCCTACCTTGGACTTGACGGCCAGGATGATCTTGGGCAGGGCCACGATGAGGCACTTGAGGGCGATAGTGATGTACTTCAGCACGAAGTCTGCGATCCCCACGATCCACAGCAGGTCGAAGAAGTCCAGGGTCTCCAGGTTGGGCTTCAGAAATATGAGGCTGTGGGGAGGATTCAGAGAGTCAGGATGCTCCCGTATGATCACGGGCCCACAGCAGCTCCTTCTACTCACTCTGAGACCTTATAAACATGACCAGTAGGAAGGGCACTGAACTGGGAATCAGGCATCTGTGTCCTGTGTCTGAATCTGCTAGTAACTTGCTGTGTGACCTCAGGTGGGTAACTTAACCTCTCTGAGCCTCAGTTCCCTTGAGGGTTAAAAGATGAGATTGGCCCAGAGCACCATTAGTTAAAGTCCCCTCCAGCTTTATGAGTCCATAACAGGCTTCACAGAGGAAGCAGAAGAAAGGAACAAAAGCCAACACCATAAAGGAGGGAGGAAGAGAAGGAAGAGGAAAACGGATGGGCCAGACACTGCGCTAAGCTCTTTACTCCCTGTATGTCACTGTCCTGTGCAGTGAGCACTGCTCATCCCCACCTTATAAAGAAGGCTCTGAAGTCTGGAGAGGTAAGATGCCCAAGGTCACACTACATGCTAACGGGCATTAGTATCAGACAGACTTGAATTTGAATCCAGGCTTCTTCATTTGTTGAACCCTGGGAAAATAATGTTCTCTTTGTAAGGCTCAGCGTTCTCATTAATAACATGGGAATTGTACCCTCCCTCATCGTGTTATTGGTGGGATTTGATGAGATTATGGACATACTACAGATGTGCCCTGCAGCTGTGACGATGATAACAACAGCAACTCTATGGGGCGGGCACTATCACCTACACCAATTGGCAGATGAGGAAACTGAGGCACAGGAGGGCCTCAGCTCTGTTGCTCCTCTGCTAAGCCTCTCTCTGTCTTTCTCTTTCTCTCTGTGCTGCAGGTCTGACTCGGCCCTGGTCTGATGGGGGCGCAGAGGACTGGGCCCGGCCGGGCCTGTGATCATGCCCAGAGAGAGACATGAACTGGAAATTCACCCCTGGTTCTGGGAAACTCCCCCTCCTACAGCCTCCACCAGGACCTTGATATTCTGGGCCAGACAACAAATGCAGTGTGTGAGATGTGAGCTGATGCCTTGGCACCAGAGCGTGGCAAAACGGCTCACTCCTCACCGTCAATGTTCAAAGGAGATGTACACGGTCGGAAAGCTTGGCTTGAGTTTCTTTTCTTTTTAAAAAAAAAAATATTTTATTGATTTTTTTACAGAGAGGGATAGAGAGAACATCGATGATAGAGTAACATTAATCAGCTGCGTCCTGCACACCCCCTACTGGGGATGTGCCCACAACCAAGGTACATGCCCTTAGACCGGAATCGAACCTGGGACCTTTCAGTCCTCAGGCCTACGCTCTATCCACTGAGCCAAACTGGTATCGGCTTGGCTTGAGTTTCAACCTTATCCTAAAAGCTCTCACTGGCCAGCCCTCCCGGACTAGGTGGCTACTAGAAAATTATACAGGGGGCCTGCATTCTATTACACAGAGAGCTCTGCTCCAGGCATGTGTGTTTACGGCAATGCGACACAGAAGGGTTGTGCATCCTCCCCCCACGTCCCCTGCTCACCTGTTGTACAGCTGCTGGGAACTGAACGTGTAGAGCACATACAGGGTGTTCCCTGCCAGGAAGGCCAAGATCCACAGGATGACCAGCACCGACCTCTTCTCCTGCAGATAGAAAGCAAACCTGTGCCGAAACCGGTTTGGCTCAGTGGTAGAGCGTCGGTCTGTGGACTGAAAGGTCCCAGGTTCGATTCCGGTCAAGGGCATGTACCTTGGTTGCGGGCACATCCCCGGTAGGGGGTGTGCAAGAGGCAGCTGGTCGATGTTTCTGTCTCATCGACGTTTCTAGCTCTCTCTCTCTCCCTTCCTCTCTGTAGAAAAAATCAATAAAAATATATTTAAAAATAAAAAGTAAAAAAAATTAATAGCAACGGTTAAAAAAAAAAAAAAAAAAAAAAAGCAAACCCGTGAGGATGCTGCGATGCCAAAGGGGCACCTGGCAGAATATTCCAGAACATTTTATGACAAGTGACAACTTTCCCTTTCTCAAGGGTCTGGAGGAGCAGGGCAATGGTGAAAGAAGGGCACTGGCCTCTTTCCTTCCCACTGGGACCCAAGAGATGGTTACAGCGAAGGCAACAGAAATGTGGACACCTCTTGGAGAACTCCCTGAAAAGGCAGGATAGCAAAGTGGTTAGCAGCAGAGTCTGGAGCTAGAAGCCTGAGTTCAAGTCCCCGATCCGCTACCTGGCGACTATCCAACCCCGGGAAAGCTATTTAAACTCTTCGTTTGCCTTTTCTCATCTGAATATGGGTCTATAGTGTATCTGTCTTGTAGGGTTGTGAGAATGAATGTACATACATGCTTAGAACTATGCCTGGCATGTAGTAGATTTACTGTAGGCACTAAGGTAAAGAGAGGTTAAGTAACTCTTTAAATGTTTTTTTAATTGATTTTTTTTTTTAATAGAGGAAGGAAGGAGAGAAACATCCATGAGAGAGAACCATTCATGGGCTGCCTTCGGCACGCCCCCTACTGGGGACTGAGCTCCTAACCCGGGCATGTGCTCTGACCAGGAATTGAACCTTCAACCTAGTTAAGTAACTCTTACTCATTTAAAAATGGGTGTTTTGTTAAGGATGAGGTAAAATTCACAAATGTCAACATTCAGTCTGGTACAGGCTCAGATTTCAGGCTGGCTGAATGGCAGGACCGAGTGTTCAGAGTTTTACAACCCAGTAGGCAATTAACCGCTATACACTGGAAACTCCCGTTCTCACTTCTGCTAGCATGGCCAGCCCTCAGGGCTACTGCCCTAGCCTGCCGGGCCGTTCAATGCAGCGCCACATTTACAGGACTATCTTCAAACCCGTCCCCTTGGCCGTGAAGCCCTTCCCCATCCATCCCAGCCCCCTTCCTGCAGCCTCATCTCTGCTTAGTCCCCATGAAGACACGCTGGAAGGCGCGCTCGGCTTGCGGTTTCCCAGCAGCCCCCCAGCCCGAGAACAATCCCAGGAAGTTTCTGGAGGAGGCGCCGGGCTGGCGTGTCTCCGCCCAGGACCCCGGGAGACCAGCGCAGACCCCGGTGCTGCTGATTCTCAAAAGCCTGTCTCTTCCTGGCCCGGGCGGCTGCCTTGCTGGAACAGGATGAGGTCATAGCTTTCCCAGTGTAACCTTCCCTGCGGTTTCGGTAAATGCTCCACCGTCTCCAGACACAGCTCCGCACCCCACACACCCGGACGGGGCTTGTTTCCAGAGCAGAGCAAAATAAATGCATCTCCATCCACCCATTATTCCAGGAGCAGGTCAAGGTTAACGACCCTAGAAACCACCTCCAACCCACCAACGGCTCTTATCAGTGTGATTAACCCACTCGGCAGCCCTTTTACCCCGATAAATAATGGATTCCAGTGGAGTCCCTCTGTAAATCTAAACCAAGGTGGAGGAGAAGGAGGGGATTAGCAAGGCCCCAAGAAGCCACACTCCGAAGGTCAAAGCAGGTAGTGCTCTAGCAGTTACGTTGAGGTTCCTAAGCTTACGAAGGGTGATGGAGGTTCTCTTTCACAGAAAACTTGTCACCTGTGTCTTCACCTCCTCGGTCTCAGGGCCCCTAGAAGCTTGTCCACGGACACAGGTGTTCTACCCCTCAGAGTCAGGCTGAGGCACCCTTTGGAGGGTAATGCCTCTGAAAGCCAGCCCCCAAAGCCTGCCATTCTGGTGTCAGCCAACCTGTTGTTCTAAGACCGGCAGAAAGGGCTCGGCCTGGAGAAGAGGAGATTCAGGCTCAGAAAGAACCTCTGGCTCCATGCCTGGCTCCGGACCTCAGCGGCTTGTGTCAAATGGAGACAGACTGCCCTTCCCGCCTCCTGGAGGCCCAGGAGCTTTTTGAGAAAGCGGATGGCCCCAAAGAAGGACCAGAGAGAGGACGGTGGCTGTCATGGGGTCATATGCACAGGACACAGCCTGGGCTTGTTAAAATAGCTCGGTTTAGCCGAAACTGGTTTGGCTCAGTGGATAGATCGTTGGCCTGAGGACTGAAAGGTCCCAGGTTCGAATCCGGTCAAGGGCATGTACCTTGGTTGTGGGCACATCCCCAGTAGGGGTGTGCAAGAGGCAGCTGATCGATGATTCTCTCTCATCGATGTTTTTAACTCTCTATCCCTCTCTCTTCCTTTCTGTAAAAAAAATCAATAAAATATATTTTTTAAAAAATAAATAGCTCGGTTTAATGTTACCTGTATGCCAGGCCCCGTGCGCCAAACACCTTCTCGGCGCTATCTCACTCAATCCCCTCTCTGGGTGTCAGAAGTTCCTTTTCCTGGGGTCGCACCTGAGGCTGAGGTTACCATGGTAACCTATCTAAGAGCTTCTTGGGGGTGAAGCTGGAATTTGAACCAAGGTGAGCACAGCCTGTGGGCCCAATGCCTGGGCGCCTGTCTTGATGCCACCACGGGCACTGGCGGCTATGTGACCTCAGACAAGGAACTTAGTATCTCTGGGCCGCTGTTTCCTATTGGAAGAATGAGATACGAATGATGCTGTGTCCCTCCTCCCCCAGGTCCCTGGGACAGATTTGCAGGATGAGCTGAGCAATGGGCCTACCTGTGCTGGGCATGGGGAGTGCTCAGCAAATCTGAGAGGGCAGTTAGGATGCTGGTGGTGAGGCTGTATGGCACCCGGCAGTGCCAGTGGAATGGCCTTCACCATAAGAGTGGGAAGTGAGCTAACAGGTTGAATGCCAGGGGGGTAAAGGGACTGGGCTGGGAAGGCAGTGCAGATGGCTGGGCTTGGCAGAAGGATGGACATCAAGGGCTCTGCCCAGGGTGGCAGGCAGAAGAATGACCCCCCCAAAATGCCCCCATCCTAATCCCTGAAACCGGTGACTATGTGAGGTCACATGGCAAAGGGGAATTAAGGCTGCAGGTGGAATTATGGTCGCATTTCAGTTAATCTTGAGATGGGGAGCGACTGTGGGTTATCCAGATGGACCTGATATCATCATGAAGGCCCCTAAAAGTGGAAGAGGAGGGTCAGAGGGGGGCGTGACTATGGAAAGATGGTCACAGAGATGCAACGGCGCCCGCCGGCTCCAAGAGGAGGAAGGGGCCCGGAGCCAAAGAATGTGGGTGACCTCCGGAAGCTGGAAAAGGCAAGGAAACCTTTTCCCCCAGACCCGCCAGCAGGAACACAGCCCTGGTACGCCTGGATCTTAGCAAAGAGAGACTCACTTCAGACTTCTTATATTGACAGAACTATAAAATAACCAACGGATGTTGTTTTAAGCCATGAAGTTTGTGGTCATGTGTTACAGCAGCCACAGAAGACTAGTTCACCAGCGGACTCACCTTCAGAGAGACCTGTTCTCGGAGGGTGGAGTTGGCGTAGGCGAAGGTGGTGGCCATCCCGATGCACACAGCAATGCCTGCGGGACAGAGGGGGACCCAACACCGCTGCTTAGACTCATTAGGCCTGGCCTGGCTTACTGGGGACGGGGAGCAACATTAAAAAGACACACCCCTGGCCCTTTGAGTTTACAGACTAACCTTAGAAGAGAGAATATCCCACTTCTGGGGGATGGGGGTCTGGTCCCACTTTAGAGACCTTTGAGCCACTCTCAGTCAAGGCCTCTGCCATAGGGATGTGACTGATGCCTCTCTGGGGTATTCCATAGAACAGAGTTAGGAGCACGGGCTGTGCAGCCTGGAAGACCTGGGTTCAAATCCTGGCTCCACTACCTCCTCTATGTATGAGCTATGGCTAGTCATTGTACCTCTCTGAGCCCCCCTTTCCTCATCTATAAAATGGGTAGAATAATAACAGTACTTGTCCCCTGGAGGGATAATGCTTATAGAGCACCATCTCTAGCAGTGAGGCAATGGTACCTACTATTATTTCTATTTTCAAAAAGAATCTGAGGTGTGTTACTTGTAATAAAAGCATACATAGAAAAAGACCATGACACCATCTAACCTAATAATATAACCTAATAATAGAGTGATATGCAAATTAACCATCACTCTGCTACACAAGCCATGCCCACCAGCCAATCGGAGCAAGTATGCAAATTAACCCAACAAAGATGGCGGCTAATTTGGATATGTGGAGGGGTGAAGACTGGAGACAGCATAGAAGGAAGAGGGAGAGAAAGTGGAAAGCAAGGCGGCTGAGGCTGCTGGAGGGAAAGCACTTGCAGTGCAAGTGGGGGTGGGGCGAGGTGAGGTGCGCAGTGGCAGCATGCTGCCATGGAGGCAGCAATGGGGGTGGGCGCGGTGGGTTGGGTGGGCAGGACGGGGTGTGCAGCAGTGGTGCGCGAGGCCCCAGAGGCGGTGGTAGCAGGCGCGGCTGCCGAGGCAGTTAGTAGCAGGCGCAGTGGGTCGGGCATGTGGGGCAAGGCGCGCTGTAGTGGTGGCAGCTTGCGTGGCCATGGAGATGGCTGAGGTGGCTGAAAGAGAGAAGTGGAGGGGTGGGAGAGGTGGGGGTGGCGGGAGGGAAGCCTGCCAGAAGTCTTGCAGGAATATTCCTGCAACAGGTGCCTAGTCTATAATAATAAAAGCATAATATGCTAATTAGACCGGACAGCCTTCTGGATGAAGCTGGGGCTGCAGCCATGGGATCCAGGCAGCTGCTGGCTGCAAAGGCCTACTCTTGCATGAATTTTGTGCATCGGGCCTCTAGCAAGGAATAAAAGTTTAATGTTAAGCCCAGCCAGTGTGACTCAGAAGTTGAGTGTCGACCTATGAACCAAAGGTTAACAGTTCAATTCCCAGTCATGGCACATGCCCGGGATGTGTGCTGGATCCCCAGTAGGGGGCACGCAGGAGGCAGCCGATCAATGTTTCTATCTCTCTATCCCTTTCCCTTCCTCCTTCTCTCTCGAATCAATAAAAATATTTTTCAAAAAGTTTAATGTTAAAGGGAAAAGAACTCCTGACCCTGACAGATGGGGGAATAGAACTGAATTTTACTCCACTTCATTCAATTGCCACTGTTTGCCAAGCTGCCATCCTGGAGTTCTCCCGGAATAGGGATTTGCAAATCCTACTTTTCTTAACCTGCAGACAGGATTCTGCTTTCACATCAAGTGCACAGCTTCTCCTGCTTAGAGCTCACCTTCACTTTTTTATTTTTATTTTTTTCACTTTTTTAATAGTTTGTGTAATCCAGGTCCTACTTTGTCCAAGATGTATTTCTTCACTGGAAACATATAAAATAAAAACTAGTAATCCTACAGTCTCTTCTGTTTTCCTCTTTGAGTAATAAGCAAACCTGCCCAATGAGAAAGACATTGGCCATACTTGAGAATAAAATTGAAGTTGTGATTATGAGGGAACTCAGGATAAAAGGGAAACATGCTGGCTTTCATTTCCAGGAATGAAAAGGGAGGCAGCCATGGGAGCACCCCAACAAGGAAGGTGGGGGTTGTGAGTGAGCTAGGACCTCCAGGAAGTGGTGAGTAGGGCACAGAATGGCCTACTCTCCTCCAGATACTGTCTATGGGACGCGGTGGGGCATGAGATCGTTTGTACCATCATTCCTGCCCAAGGACCAAAACAAGAGCCCAAACTCTCCCGGGCACAGCGACACCATGATGTGTGGCAACAGTAAGTAATAATGATGATGAAGATGACGACAGTGTACCAGAGACCACTTACTGAGTGTGAAGTCCGTGTCTGGTTCAAGGCTAAATCATTATCTCACTTCCTAATACTACTAACCATAGGGAGTATTTATTGAGCACGTGCTCTGTGCCAGATTCTATGTGAAGTATCTTCCGTATGTTAATAAGAGAAATAATGAAAATAATAACCTATCCTTGCACAGCACTGTCCTAAGTGCTTTAAACATATGAATTCATTTAACCTCACTGCAACCTCATGAAGCGTGTTGTGACGTACCCCTCATTCTATGGATGAGGCACAGAGACGTTAATAACGAATCCAGCGTCACACAGCTAGGCAGGGGCAGAGCCTGAGTCCAGACCCAAGGAGTCTGAGCTCTTCATTACTACTTCACAACCAACCAACCAACCAACCAACCAACCAGCGAGGGAGCTCCTATCATAACCCCCACCGGACAGAGGAGGAAACGGAGGCTCAGAGAAGGCGAGTGACTTGCCTGACATCACACAGCGAGACTGCCAGGACTCGAACTCAGGTCTGACTCAGAATCCCATACTCGTCTGCATGGCATGGCGAGGGCCTCTGCTGCCCTTCCCTGGCATTTGGGATGGAGCGCCCCCTGCCCGCTGCTGACATCCCTGTGCCCCTGGGACTCACCGAGCTTATGCTGGAAGCACAGTTTGGTCAGGAGGATGAGGATGAAGGGCAGGCCTTTCTGGAGCCAGCAGACCACCGCCTTCAGCTCGGACAGGGCGGGGGCGGGCGTGCCCGGGTGCTCGTCGCCCGCCTCATCGGGGTGCCCGCGGTGGTCCCCGCCCACGTGCTGCAGCAGCGAGCTCCCGCGGTGGCCTCCGTGGTGGAAGTGGTGGTGGGGCTGGCGGTGGTGGTAGGTGCCCCCCTCGCCCCGGCTGCCCCCCTCCTCCCTGGACGCCGGCATCTGGAGGAACACGTCCCCGCCACTGGCAGAGGCCCTCAGCACCAGGCTGGAGGGGAACGGGGCTGCAGGAAGGCTGCCTGCCGGGAGGCCCGAGAGGCCGGAGAAGAGGGCGGGCGGGGAGGCGGCTTCTGCCTTCAGGCTCTCGAAGACGCCCCCTTCATCCACGCTTGCCTCGGGGCTGAGGGCTTGGCTGCGATTTCTAGGCCAGAAGGGGAGAGAAAGCCCCACCACGTCAGACAGGTGGAAAGACAGTCACCCAGGGGGACTGGGGGACCCATAACAGCACCAATCATGTCCTACGCTGAATTATGTTTCCCCCCAAACTCCCAGGGGGAAGCCCTGACCCCCAGACCGCAGAGGGTGACTGTCCTTTGGAGGCAGGACCTTTGCAGAAGTGACTAAACGGAAACGGGGTCATGCGGGCAGGCCCTCATCCAATGTGAATGGTGTCCTCACTCGGCCGCACGCAGGAGGGGAAATGATGCGAGGACATCTGCAGGCGAAGGAGAGAGGCCTCAGAAGAAACCCGCACTGACAATGTCATCTCCTTGGTCTCGGAATTCCGGCCTCCAGAACCACGAGGAAGTAAGTTTCTGTTGTTTTAAGGCCCCCATTGTGTGGCACCTTGCCACGGCAGGCCTAGCGAACTCATCCAAATAATAACAGCAACAGGGTTGTAATCTTCATAGAAAATTTACTATGAACGAGACAGTTTTCTAAGTGCTTCCCACGGACTAACTCATTAAATCTTACCAACCCTGAGAGTTAAGGTCCTAATAATACCCCCATTTGACAGATCAAGAAACTGAGACTCTGAGAAAAAGAAAGAGAGAATATCTTGTCCAAAGCTGCACAGATGGTCAGATAAAGAAACTGAGGCTCAGAGAGATGAGCATGTCAGACACCTGGATCCGTGATCTGCAAACTGAGGCTCTTGAGCCACTTGTGGCTCTTTGGCCCCTTGAGCGTGGCTCTTCCACAAAATACATGGTCTGGGCGAGTCTATTTTGAAGAGGTGGCGTTAGAGGAAGTTTACGTTTAAAAAATGTGGCTCTCCAAAGAAATGTCAATCGCAGTACTGCTGATAGTTGGCTCTGTTGACTCAGGAGTTTGCCGACCCCTGTCCTGGATTGTCTCGCCCCAAACTCCAATCTAACTGTGTGCCCTTCCCTCCCGACCCAAGGCTTCCTACTGCAGGGCCTTTGCACAGGCTGTGCCCTGCACTTAATGTCACCTTCGCCCTGACCCGCCTCGGTACCTGCACTCACCTTCCTGGGTGGCGCCTGCCCTACGACTCCCAGAAAACGGCATCTCCTCACTCCTCGTTCTCCCTGCATCCTGCCCTCCGCTGCACCGGACTGATCGCAAACCATCATTCACTGCTGAGCCGTGGCTCTCAACCCTCGCTGCGCGTGATAATCACCCAGGGGAGCTTTTGAAAAATGCCTGGTACAGGTGGCCTGGGACCCAGTGCTGCCCTGCTGCACCAGAGTCTCTGAGGGTGGGGCCTGGCCTCTCCCAGGTCTTCAGAGCCCCCTGGTGACTCTCATGTGTAGTACGCACCGAGAGGAGCACTTCAGACTGGGCTCTGTGCCCTGAAGTCAAAGGTCATGATTGTTTGCCCCCACTGTACATCTCTCCTACCTGGCACAATGCACCTGGTACAGAAAACATGCTCAAGAAACAGTGTTTGAAAGAATGGATGAATGAGCGTATTAAAGGCTCAGACAAGGCCTGCGATTGGAAAAATTAATTATGCCTAAACTTAGTGTGTTCTAAGCTTATTTCACCATGGAATTTTGTGTGTGTGTGTGTGTGTGTGAAACCTATGAATGTCTTAGCGCAGCGGTCACCAACCTTTCGGACCTCACGGACCACCAGTGGCCCTCAGATCACTGGTTAGCGACTGCCCTTTTAGAGAGACCCAGCAGGGGTGATGAGGGTCGGGAGAAATCTCAGGGTTGATTATTCTGGCCCAGGAGTAAGTTATCACAAACCTGGTGCAAGGGAGGGGAGCTTAAAGATGGCTACTTACCGCCCCCACCCCTTCAACCTGGTGCATCCCTGCTGCCTCCCAAATCCCAGGAAATGTGTGGTCCCACCCCCTTGGGTTTGGCATGATAATAAAGATAATATTGATAATGACAACAATAGCGGGCATCATGGCTATGATCCTCAAGGGGCCTCGAGCTTTTTCTGCACTTTTAAGAAGGTAAGAAAGACCGAATCCTGGCAGGGGCCCACATTGGCCCACTCTCTTCCCCGCCGCCCCATGGGGACCTGGAAAGTCTTTCTGGCCTCCTTAAGCTCACCAACACTCTGAATTCACTGGGCTCATGGGACCTCACGGCACAACCAGTGAAGACTCAATCCACCAAGCGGCTTTTTATAGCTGGGCCTTAGCATTCAGCCAAGATTTCAGCCTAAACGGGAAAGAATATTCCTTGGGGAGGTGGAGGCTGTGCTTCTAGCTTAACCACTTATGGGCTAGTGTGGGAAGCAACCCAGGAGAGGAGTGGATCTGCCCAGAGAGGAGACACCAAAATGTGCGGGCTCGATGCGCAGACTCAGGTGAGGGTGGGGGAGACAGCTGGCAAGTGGACTGGGATCCCAATCTCAGCCCTGCTGCTTCCTGGCCGTGTGGCTTCAGGGAACTCACTTGGACTCTCTGAGCCTCAGTTTCCTCATCTGTAAGAATGGTGATAAAAGCAGTCCTGACCTCATCAATGGCACAGAGTGAGTGCAATACAGGGGAGTCGTTCTTCTGCCCCCAAAGATCTCTTGGTTCACAAGAGTAAGGTGACCAGATGTCCCGCTTTTGGCGGGACAGTCCCAATTTTTAACAATTTGTCCTGCGTCCCTCGGCGTTTTAAAAATGTCCCGAATTTTTGAAAGATAAAAATCAGGACTTTTTTAAAACGCCAAGGGATGCGGGACAAATTGTTAAAAATCGGGACTGTCCCACCAAAAGCGGGACGTCTGGTCACCTTACACTAGAGAGCAGACAACCATTCTGTCTTCAGAGGCTGGAATAGGCTTATTATCTGGATGCTGTGTTTGTGCATTTTCCTGTCCATTCACTCCTTCACAAGAAACCTGAGGGTCACCATCTGCCATTTAGGGAAGGAGACACTTTCCAAAGGCATCATAGCGGGGAGGTGGCTGAGCTGGGATTTAGCCAAGAGTCGTCTGCTTTAAGGCCAGAGCTCTTCCCTGCAGAATAGGCAGGCTTGACGCAAACCTCAGTCCCAATGCTAGGACCAGTGGGTTCTCTGATTTTGCAGCCAATCTCCGAATTGCAAGGGAACTGGAATGTAATCCGAGGGAGGAAAAGCTTGGTTGCCTGCCTACTGCAAGCATGTGCTAGCATGTTGGGGGTGGGGGAGCAAAGGGGCAGGAGTCTGGGGCTGAGATACTGTTACAACCTGAGAACAGGTCCCATGGTGTCTTCTCTCTTGGGTCTAACTAGAGAAATCCTAGCTCAGAGTGTTTTAACTGTGTTTTCTTAGAGTCTGTGTTTGTCTATTTGGCATCCACTCCTTACAGGGGCAACCTCATGGCCAGAGTTGTTCACAACTTCCTTGCAACCCAGAGCCCGTATCCCCGGCCACCTCCTTGATCTAATGCTCATGTATCCAGCCAATATTTCTCCTGCCCTGTTCCAGGACCAGGTACCAGACAACCAGAGACCACCCTAGAGCGCAGAGCCCGCTGACATTGCTCAAAGCAGGCCATGCTAAGCTGTGTCCTCTGCCCTGGCCTGATTGGTGTGGAAAACACAATCCAAGCTGTGGCCTAAGCTTTCCCTGTGCTCCTTTCTGCCTCCTGAGCGACCCTGGTGCTTCCCCGTGTGGCCCTAGGTGGTGTAACATGTCCCCTCCTCTCGGAAAATGTAAGTAACCAAGATCTTCTTTCAACGGCATGAGCCTCTCCATGTTGTCACTCAATCACCTCCATAAATTAAAATCTCATGGGCAACATCATTGATACAATGAGTCAAGTGCGTCACCTGTCACACAGGCTGTGAGAATTACCATAAGAGCAACAGCCAGCAGTTATGCATGGAGTAGTATATGCCATCACTGTGCAAAGCAATTTATAATTCCTCTGCTCCTCAAACCCGTAACCCTGAGATGCAGGTATTATTACTCAGTATAGTTTGGAACTGCCCCTGAACCCTCAAAGCCCAGAGCCCCCCAATGGGATGGAACCAGAAGATGCCTACCTTTCAGGTGGGATGTTATCCGTGTTACTGCTGTGGCGTCTCTGCATCTTCCTTAACACCTGAAAGCCAACACACGGCATAAGCCAGAGTCTCCCGACATCCCCACTGCCTGTCAGATTGCCATAGTAATCATGAATAAGCACCACTCCTATCCCATGTCCCTACAGCGCTCTGACCTTTTCCAAACCTTGTTTCCATCTGCTGTGCCAGTCAACACTCAGTCCTATTGAGGAAAGTGTTATCACCCCATTTCACAGAAGAGGTTGTTGAGACCCGGACGTGGAGGAAGTCCTCACGGGAGAGAGGAGAGCACTGAACGGTGCAGCAAAGAGGTGATGGGTGAGGTGAAGGGAGCAGCAGGCTGGCAATAGAAGATGTGGATTCTAGATTGGTGATGCCCCTAATTTGACGTCTGACTCTGGACAAGTCAGTCACCTCTCTGTGGGCCCAGATTCCTCCTCTGTTAAATGGGAGGGGGCAGAGTGGCTGAACACCAAACTTCTCCTCAGCGCTCGCAATGAGTAAAGTGGTAATGAATGTGTGAATTCTCATGGAGACACGTCACCTTGTTTACCGTGAGGAGCCACATGGACTTCAGAATTCCATGTTCACGACAGCTGAAGCGGGCATGCAGGGATCCAGGTGGGGATGTGATCACCGGATTGCAGCGGAGGCAGGCCTTCCCTGCCTCGTCCTCTCCAGACAGGTGCACAGGTCAGGGGGGTTTACGAGAGACTCCAAACCCTGGTGGAATACAACCCTTACATGAATAGTCCATGGGTGCCCGAACCTCTGAGTAACCTTGGAGCATCATGGGCTATAGCACATGATTCCATCTGCTCCAAATCTCTGACTCGCTCCTCACTGATCCCTCTTTAGGGCTCCTGAGAATGCTCATGATCTCAACGCATTTTGTCCTGTTGTGAAACCGAGTCCTAATCGGGGAACACAGAACATAGGTTTTAGAACCCCCAATGGCTTTCCATTGTAATCAGAATAAAATCCAACTTCCGTGCACAGCCCTACAGGTTCTATCTGATGGAGCTTACTGTTTCCAGCCACATTTCCCTCCACTCCCCATTTAACCACTCCCCTCCAGCCTCAATAGCTTTTCTGTTCCTCAACCAGGCCAGCAGTCCCTGCCTCGGGCCCTTTGCATTTGCTGTTCCTTCTCCCTGGAATGATTTTTCTTGTGGCTAATTTCTTTTTTTTAATTTTTTTAAATTTTTAAATATATTTTATTGATTTTATACAGAGAGGAAGGGAAAGAGAGAGAGAGTTAGAAACATCGATGAGAGAGAGTCATCGATCAGCTGCCTCTTGCACACCCCCTACTGGGGATATGCCCGCAACCAAAGTACATGCCCTTGACCGGAATCGAACCTGGGACCCTTCAGTCCCCAAGCCGACGCTCTATCCATTGAGCCAAACCGGTCTTGGCTCTTGTGGCTAATTTCTTCAGGTTAAATGTCACCTCCTCCCAGAGGCCTTCTCCTCTAGACCTCCTGACCCACCAAACATTGTCCTCTCTAACCTTCTTCATAGCACTTGTTTATTTACATGTTTGCTTACTTATTGATGATGTGTCCCTTAGTAGAAGGTAAGTGCCACAAAGGCAGGGAGCCCCTCCACCTCAGCATCTAGGATACTTCCTGGCACAGAGTGGCACTCAGCAGGACTTATTCAAAGAGTAAAACATCCATGGGTTTCTTTGTAGCTTTTCCTGCATCCCTTGCTCCCTCCCAGACTTTTCACCCTAGATGAGAAATAAAGGCGCTAAACTTCCCATGGATAGGTTTAGCCTCCTTCAATTTTTTTTTTGTATAACCAAATATGCTATCTGATTCTTTTAGTTCAGGCCACCATAATTGGCTGTTGAATGGCTTCTTGCCCTGGCCAGCTTTTTCAGAGGTCAGCATTCGCATTACTAGGACCAATGATTAAAGAGAAAACCCACTAGCTTTTGGAAACTCAGTTAAGAAATGGGTCAGTAGTTCCATTTTCATATATGAAGGGAAGCTCATTATGTAAATATTTCTTAACTTTTGCCCTTATCCAGTTTGGCTCAGTGGGTCCTAGATATGATTCTGGTCAAAGGCATATACCTTGATTGCAGGTTCCCTGGCTCTCATCGCAGATTGGGGTGCATATAGGAGGCAACCAATCAATGTGTCTCTCTCACATCGGTGTTTCTCTCTGAATCTCCCTCTCCCTTCCATTATCTCTAAAAACCAATGCAAAAATATCCTTGGGTGAGGATTAACAAAAAAACAACAACTCAACTTTCAGAACTTGCAATGCCAGCTTAATGTCCTCATCTGAAGATACCCCATCACCGGCGAATCCTTGGGGGAAATAAAATATAGTATCCTAAAGCTTCTATCCATAAATCTGACCCAGCCTCTTAAATGAAATGCCCAAGATTCTACTTTCCTATGCTTGCTTTTGCAGGGGCTCCAAGTACTCTGTTGGAAGCAGACCTTAATTATCCCAGTATTGAATTCTGGAATAAATTTTTGCACGGTGGGATGCATCGGAATCGTACTACTGCCCTATACAGAATTACAAAACATGTCATTTTTTAAAGTCGGGCCTCCAGCCCTTTACCCGACTGCAGCGAAATGCATGCAAGAAAGCATCTCCTGCATTAGTTGCACTGGAAGCTGGCAGGTGCACTGGGTACAATGCCGGGAGCGTTTTTTCATTTCTGCAGCCAACGTTCAACGAAAAACGCCTCAGGGACTGCAAGGGCAGGAGTCTACACGGACCGCAGGGGTAAAAAACAACAACAAATAGCAAAAAAAAAAAAAAAACAAAACAAAACCAACGCTTTATCTTTTTACCTGCCCAGACGATTCAGCAATCACAGCGGCATCATTCATGTCCTTCCAAGCCAATCATTCTTGCAGCCCTGGGAGCACGTGACCTGCGAGGGCTTCCGGCCTCTGACAGGATTCTCTCACGGGTAGACTCGCGGGTCGCACCAGCCCGGCACAGCGCTCACGCCGCACGCACAGGAGTGCCCGCCCTCTTTCCGGGATTCAGCCAATAGGAACCCGCATATCTGCAGGGACCAATGGCAATGAGGCCAGGTGAGCTAGCAAGGCTCGTGAAGGCGGAACCGAGGCCGCGGTCACGTGAGGCGGCGCGGGGAGGCTGCCGGGAGCTGGCTGGGCTGAGGGCCGCGGGGCCGGCGCCCGGCGTGAGGAATGGGGCCGCCCGCCGCGTAGGGGCCATGCCGCCCGGGCCCCGGGCCTGCCCCGTTCCGCGCCCCGGCCGCCGCGCCCCGCGTCCGCGCCGGCATGGTGAACCTGGCGGCCATGGTGTGGCGCCGGCTCCTGCGGAAGCGGTGGGTGCTCGCCCTGGTCTTCGGGCTCTCGCTCGTCTACTTCCTCACCAGCACCTTCAAGCAGGTGAGTGGCCGTTCGCCGTCTTGCGTTCCTCCGGGCGCCGCGGGCCGCTCCCCCGGCCGCCGGCTTCCTCCCCAGGTCGGGGAGCTGCTTGCCTTGCAGCCGCGCTGCTCCCGGGTCCGGCCGGGGAGGCGGGCATGCCTGCCGGGGACCGAGGACGGCCGGGGGGACCTGCTCCCTCCTGGGGACCTGGGTGAGCAGGCGCTGTTAGGCCGGCTCCTGGGACTCGAACCCGGGGTTGTGGCCCTGATTGTCCCCTCCTCCTGCTTCCTGCCTGCCCCGCCGGCGTGCATTTCTCGCTGCATCTTCGGGGCTGCCCTGGGGGGTGGAGGGTGGCCCCGTAGCCGAGCTCTGGGGCCAGCGCGGCGTGTCTGCCCAGGAAGTGTCCTCTCTGTGCACAGCTCGAGCGCAATGTTCTTCCCCCCTCTCTCCTCCCCGCTTTAGATTTAAGTCCACGTGCGAATTTATGGGAGAAAAGACAGGGTGCTTTGGTAGGAAATGTTACCCAAAGCAGTGATTTGTTTAAAAGTCCGACTTAAGCGTTAGGGTTTTTAGGAAGGATGAACTTACCCCAAGGTGTTCTGGTTTTCAAAAAAGAACCCCCGTTTCACTCTCCAGGGTCAAGTTCATACATCAAACATAGCAACGTGCCAAAACCGGTTTGGCTCAGTGGATAGAATGTCGGCCTGCGGACTCAAGGGTCCCAGATTCGGTCAAGGGCATGTACCCTGGTTGCGGGCACATCCCCATTAGGGGGTGTGCAAGAGGCAGCTGATTGATGACACTCTCTCATGGATGTTTCTAGCTCTCTATCTCTCTCCCTTCCTCTCTGTAAAAAAAAATCAAAAAAAAATCACAAAACACATAGCAATGAGCAGAAAGTAAATAAACGTTGTGGGCAGGGGAGCCTGGAAAGGGGGAGACAGGAAGTGTAGGCAAACAGGCTGGGTGTTTGTTGTAAGCATCTTTTGTTGCTGGAGACGTGTGGGTGACATTCGCGTGCACTTAGATATTTCCTGCCACCTCCTGGCAGCTCCTCACGGTCTGGTGCTGCCCCTGCTCCGGCCGGTGGGCCTCAGTGTTGTGAATGAGCCAGAACTCCGATCTCGGCCTTCCTCCCCACCTGGCCCAGGTGATCTGTGCCATCATTGTTCAAGTACAGGTTGTATGCCCTCGAGATCCCAGCTCTTGACTCCAGTCTGGATCTGTCCAGAAAACCTCAAATTCTATTACCTTCTGCCACCGCGGTGTCTCCTGAATTTATTCGTTTCTCCTAATTGTCACTGCTGCCACCTTAAGTCAAGCTACCTTCATCTCTGTCCGGACCATGCTGTAGCCACCAGTAGGTCTATGCCTCCTTTCTCATCCTGCACCCAGTTCTCTACCCAGCAAGAGGAGTGGTAAGTTCTTTGGGTTCTTACTGCACTCCACAAACCCTAGACGTTTCAGAATAATGGTGACTCTTTTATGTCACTTCAGGTCAGACTAAATATTACTGCCTCAGGTGACACGGGTGACACAATCTGAATTTCTTCCCTGTTGCCCATAGTCCTGCTTTATTTCCTTTGTGGTAGGAACTGAACATTTCTTGTTCATTTACTTGCTGATCTGTGCCTTTTAGAGTGTAATTTTCTTGAGAACAGAGAATTGTGTTCGTCATAGAATCCCAGCCCATAGACTTCTGCCAGGCACTTCAGGGGGACTCAAATATTGGAACAAATGAGTCTTTTTTTAAAAAAAATATTTTCATTGATTTCAGAGAGGAAGGGAGAGGGAGAGAGAGGTAGAAACATCAGTGATGAGAGAGAATAATTGATCAACTGCTTCCTGCACGCCCCATGCTGGGGATGGAGCTTGCAACCCCTGTTTATGCCCTGACCAGGAATCGAACCATGACCTCCTGGTTCATAGGTTGACATTTGGCCGGGCTGAATCTTTTTAATTGGGATGACTTTAACTTTCTTTTCAATCTGGCACATTCCTACTAGTCATATGCTGTCCACTCTGACTTTCTTTACAACCTCCTTTTAAGTACTCCTGTGCACCTTGTTCATTTTTGTAAAAATATGTCTTTATTGATTTTAAAGAGAGAGTAGGAGAGGAAGAGAGACACCAATGTGAGAACACATCAATCAGCTATCTCCTACATGCCCACTCCGGGGATCAAGCCCACAACCCT